TTCAGCCATCAATCAGTATATCAATCAATCAGTACATCAATCAATCATCAGTACATCAATCAATGCACCATTTAGTATACATGGACAATCCTATCCACTAGTTCATGAGATATTTTGCTAACAGACATGATGGGCAGTAATCCATTTTAAAACAGGGTTTCCTCCAGTCCTCTAAAATCTGCCACTTTTCTAATGAAGTTCTGACCTGACCCTCAAGTCAAGTTTGTCGATTCACCATATGGTACATGAGGTGGAATGAAATTATGTACTTGGGGTCTCGGTCACATCCAACAATAACAAAAATATAAAGTGTAAATTAAAACAGTAAATAAGGATCTAAGATGTACTGTAAATTAAACACTAATGTAAAACAATAGGATGTAACAACAGCAGCTAGAACGTAGAACTGACTTTTAACTTTTTAGAACTTTAAAGAACTGACCTTATCATGTCTGATGACATCTCGATTTTCTGAGAAGAATTAATCCTGAAGCAGAAAAACAGAACCAGTTTAGGAACATGTTCATCTTCTAAAAGATCGTTCTTCACATGCAGCCTGATAGGACTCCTCCTTCAGCTCGACATCCTCTTTAACACAAGGTGTCCTCCACCGAGCCACCGCGAGAACACAAAAACCTTGCAGCCACAACTCAAGGCAGCCACCGCACCAACAGGCGTGGAACATGGCCCACTCGGACTCAATGTGTGTGTCTAGTAGAGAGCTGTATGAATGTGTGTCTAGTAGAGAGCTGTATGAATGTGTGTGTAGTAGAGTGCTGTATGAATGTGTGTGTCTAGTAGAGTGCTGTATGAATGCGTGTGCGTCTAGTAGAGCGCTGTATGAATGCATGTGTGTCTAGTAGAGTGCTGTATGAATGTGTGTCTAGTAGAGTGCTGTATGAATGTGTGTGTGTCTAGTAGAATGCTGTATGAATGTGTGTGTCTAGTAGAGTGCTGTATGAATGTGTGTGTGTCTAGTAGAGTGCTGTATGAATGCATGTGTGTCTAGTAG